ATGACACAGGACAGCAGGGACCAGGAGGAGAGGGAGGCCAAGCACAACCCTCACACAGGACCAGGAGGAGAAGGAGGCCAAGCACAAACCTCACATAGGACCAGGAGGAGAAGGAGGCCAAGCACAACCCTCACACAGGACCAGGAGGAGAAGGAGGCGAAGCACAAACCTCACGCAGGACCAGGAGGAGAAGGAGGCCAAGCACAAGCCTCACACAGGACCAGGAGGAGAAGGAGGCGAAGCACAAACCTCACGCAGGACCAGGAGGAGAAGGAGGCCAAGCACAAGCCTCACACAGGACCAGGAGGAGAAGGAGGCCAAGCACAAGCCTCACACAGGACCAGGAGGAGAAGGAGGCCAAGCACAACCCGCACACAGGACCAGGAGGAGAAGGAGGCCAAGCACAACCCTCACACAGGACCAGGAGGAGAAGGAGGCCAAGCACAACCCTCACACAGGACCAGGAGGAGAAGGAGGCCAAGCACAAACCTCACACAGGACCAGAAGGAGAAGGAGGCCAAGCACAACCCTCACACAGGACCAGGAGGAGAAGGAGGCCAAGCACAACCCTCACACAGGACCAGGAGGAGAAGGAGGCCAAGCACAACCCTCACACAGGACCAGGAGGAGAAGGAGGCCAAGCACAAACCTCACACAGGACCAGAAGGAGAAGGAGGCCAAGCACAAACCTCACACAGGACCAGAAGGAGAAGGAGGCCAAGCACAACCCTCACACAGGACCAGGAGGAGAAGGAGGCCAAGCACAACCCTCACACAAATGGGTCCCTCACAGATGGTATAATTGTGTAAATCTAATAAATGTTTTTTGGATCCAGTCTTCGGTCACCATTATGATACAGCTCTAAATCAGAATTGAATTTGCCGACGCAGATTAGAAAACCAAAACACAGAGACGTCGGTCCATAAGGAGCAGAGACAAATGTCCATCCATCTGTTTTCTGCCCTTTAATCCAATTCTGGGTTGGGGGTGGCAGTCACACACACACGCAACAGTCACACACACACACACGCAACAGTCACACACACAACAGTCACACACACACACAACAGTCACACACACACAACAGTCACACACACAACAGTCACACACACACACAACAGTCACACACACACAACAGTCACACACACACGCAACAGTCACACACACAACAGTCACACACACAAACGCAACAGTCACACACACACAACAGTCACACACACACACAACAGTCACACACACAGGCAACAGTCACACACACTCACACAACAGTCACACACACACACAACAGTCACACACATACACGCAACAGTCACACACACTCACACAACAGTCACACACACACACACAACAGTCACACACACGCAACAGTCACACACACACACAACAGTCCCACACACACACGCAACAGTCACACACACACAAAAGTCACACACAACAGTCACACACACACACAACAGTCCCACACACACACGCAACAGTCACACACACACAAAAGTCACACACACAACAGTCACACACACGCAACAGTCACACACACACACAACAGTCACACACACACACACAACAGTCACACACACACACGCAACAGTCACACACACAACAGTCACACACACACACAACAGTCATACACACACAACAGTCATACACACGCAACAGTCACACACACTCACACAACAGTCACACACACTCACACAACAGTCACACACACACAACAGTCACACACACGCAACAGTCACACACACACACACACAACAGCCACACACACACAACAGTCACACACACGCAACAGTCACACACACACACACAACAGTCACACACACACACACACACAACAGTCACACACACACACACAACAGTCACACACACAACAGTCACACACACAACAGTCACACACACACAACAGTCACACACACACACAACAGTCACACACACACACAACAGTCACACACACGCAACAGTCACACACACACACACGCGCAACAGTCACACACACACACACAACAGTCACACACACACACACACAACAGTCACACACAACAGTCACACACACATACAACAGTCACACACACACGCAACAGTCACACACACACACGCAACAGTCACACACACACACAACAGTCACACACACACACAACAGTCACACACACACACACAACAGTCACACACACACACAACAGTCACACACACACAACAGTCACACACACACAACAGTCACACACACGCAACAGTCACACACACACACACAACAGTCACACACACACACAACAGTCACACACACACACAACAGTCACACACACAGACGCAACAGTCACACACACACATGCAACAGTCACACACACACAACAGTCACACACACACACAACAGTCACACACACACACGCAACAGTCACACATGCAAATGGCATCCTGAAAGAGAAAATAACTTTGCCTGAAGCTGAATTCTCGCAGTATTTGTGAGTTCACAAACACTGGAGAATACATCTTGTCCCGCTCCAGCCAACCCTTTTCCAGTAGAACATCTAGGTCAGGGGTGGCCAACCCGCGGCTCGTGAGCCGCATGCGGCTCTTTGGCTGGTTCCGTGCGGCTCTCGGGCTTTCACACGACAAGCGTCAAAAACGCCTCGGTGGTGGCGCTGCCATTCATTCTCTCTTTAGTTCTGACCCATAGTAAAGGCCGACTTCACTCCACTAGCCAGGCCACCAAAACAATCTGACGTCGGCGAACGTCAATTCTGATTGGTCAGATGCGCTGTCAATCACTCTGCAGCTGCTGCCTCAGCTGTTAAATATCATAACAAACAACACGTTGCCTCGAACCATGGCGTCCGTACGGAAAACAGTTCCTTGGTCGCTGGATGAGGGCAACACCTTCCTCAGTTTGAGGAGAGGACACCAGAGTGAGCTCGATGGTTCCACCAGAAACCAGAAGGTGTTTGTGGAGCTAGCACTAAGGACGGAGCAGAATGATTCCCACAAACATGACAATGCAGAGAAAAGTTAAAAAGCTTAAAAGTGACAACCGTGAAATGAAAGATCGCAGCAGCAGAAGTAGAGGCAGACCCGAAAAGTCTGGAGGTGGTTTGACCAAATGGATTACATTTACGGACATCGGCTAACACCGGCTAACATGCTAAAACCAGCTAACACCAGCTAGCGTTACACCAGGAGATAAGCCAACTCTGCCTGGTGAGTGTCTGTCTTCAATCAAATGCAAAAGTATCTGGTCTTATACTGAGCATGTGTCTGTGGTTCTAAATCAGCTAAAGTGGTGTTGGTGTTATGTGTCAAATTTATATCTTTTACTAAATACAAAAAAGAGTGAATCATGGTTCAATAAAGACAGTTGTGTTTCTGCTGAATACTGGGTTGAAACTTGATTTTTTTTTCTTGGTTAGAGATTGAAAGCATTCATTTCGGAATCATAATTGATGTTCGCTGACGTGCAATTGTTCTGGTATCGACTCGCCCGGTTAGAACCAGGGCCGAACCATCAATAAAAAGTACCGGGGAGCGGTTGAAGCGAGCGGTGGAAGCACCCGCAAACCGGGGAGAGTCGAGTCCAGCCCTTTAGTGCTGTACGAGTCAATTTCTGTCATTATCATGTTGATGACATTTACATCTATCTGAGCAGAGCACACCTCTCTCTGCTCAGACAGATTGCATGTGTGTGTGTGTGTCTGTGAGCGTGTCTGCTCGTGTGCGTGCGTGTGTAAGGGTTGGGGTGATGTTTATGTAGCGCACATTTGTATGATGTGGCTCTTTGCTGTAACAAAGTAAAAAAAATGGCTCTTAGTCTCTGACTGGTTGGCCACCCCTGATCTAGGTGTTCAAGCCAATCACGCGCCAGTCTGGGGGTTTAGGGCGGGATATCCGGGTTTGACGAAAGCAAGAAGTGCCGGGCCGAAGCAAAACAAACATGGCTACGCAGGAGGACGGACGCGTAGCTGAGGCTATCAAGTCAGTTTTAGCAGAATCTCCAATTTCTTTTTTGAAACAGCGAGAGGCGCTTTGTGCATTTCTGGACGGCAAAGATGTTTGTGCATTTTTACCTACGGGTTTTGGCAAGGTCAGCACTAGACCATATATGGAATCGGGACGGAAGCGGAAGTAAAAATAACAAACTACCTATTCATGAATAAACTTAACCAGACATTCCCATAAAATAACCCCAACCCACCTTAACCCTAACCTTAACCATCTTACTCAGACCACCTTAACCCTAACCTTAACCATCTTACTCAGACCACCTTAACCCTAACCTTAACCATCTTACTCAGACCACCTTAACCCTAACCTTAACCATCTTACTCAGACCACCTTAACCCTAACCTTAACCATCTTACTCAGACCACCTTAACCCTAACCTTAACCATCTTACTCAGACCACCTTAACCCTAACCTTAACCATCTTACTCAGACCACCTTAACCCTAACCTTAACCATCTTACTCAGACCCACCTTAACCCTAACCTTAACCATCTTACTCAGACCACCTTAACCCTAACCTTCACCATCTTACTCAGACCCACCTTAACCCTAACCTTAACCATCTTACTCAGACCCACCTTAACCCTAACCTTAACCATCTTACTCAGACCCACCTTAACCCTAACCTTAACCATCTTACTCAGACCACCTTAACCCTAACCTTAACCATCTCACTCAGACCACCTTAACCCTAACCTTAACCATCTTACTCAGACCACCTTAACCCTAAACTTAACCATCTTACTCAGATCCACCTTAACCCTAAACTTAACCATCTTACTCAGATCCACCTTAACCCTAACCTTAACCATCTTACTCAGACCACCTTAACCCTAACCTTAACCATCTTACTCAGACCACCTTAACCCTAACCTTAACCATCTTACTCAGACCACCTTAACCCTAACCTTAACCATCTTACTCAGACCACCTTAACCCTAACCTTAACCATCTTACTCAGACCACCTTAACCTTAACCTTAACCATCTTACTCAGACCACCTTAACCCTAACCTTAACCATCTTACTCAGATCCACCTTAACCCTAACCTTAACCATCTTACTCAGACCACCTTAACCCTAACCTTAACCATCTTACTCAGACCACCTTAACCCTAACCTTAACCATCTTACTCAGACCCACCTTAACCCTAACCTTAACCATCTTACTCAGACCCACCTTAACCCTAACCTTAACCATCTTACTCAGACCACCTTAACCCTAACCTTAACCATCTCACTCAGACCACCTTAACCCTAACCTTAACCATCTTACTCAGACCACCTTAACCCTAACCTTAACCATCTTACTCAGACCACCTTAACCCTAACCTTAACCATCTTACTCAGACCACCTTAACCCTAACCTTAACCATCTTACTTAAACACCTAAAACGTAACCAGGACTTATTAGTCTAAAATTCATTTGAAAGTAGGATTGTTACTTCCGGTTTCGTCCCGATTCCGTTTATGATCTAGTGCCGACCGTTTTTGCAAGAGATGACGACATAATGTTACCGGGATTGGTTTAAATCAAACCTTGGTAGGCGGGCACACAGCGTCACTTCGCCCAATCAGCTTGAAGTATTCTGCTGCTTATCCCTCCTGCAGAAGTCCCAGATTGATATTGTGGAGAACGCATTAGAGTTCTACACAATCATTAATCTGCCTCTTGCCAGGTTAAAGAGAAAAGGCAAAGCTTACAATGAATGAATGAATGAATTGTTTTTATTATTTACTTACTTACTTACTAATTAATTAATACAAAAGTCATGCCTAAAAATTTGACTCATTTTTTACTCAATATAT